GGGGCCACCCAGGACGGAGGAATTCCAGTGTTAAAACCAGGACAGGCTGGTGCAAACTGGAAACGACGGTCACCCCACTTACGAGCCACTCTCCTCTCCTTTTTCTCTCCCTCCAATGGTCAGTGAGAGAGAACCTGGATCTCGGCTGAGTGACGCCTGGGTAGGGTGCTTGCTTCCGCCAGTCATCTGAGACTAACAGAGAGGTGAGACACGATAAGCAAAAGCGCCCAGCCCTTGTCTTTTCTCAGAACAGGAACGTCTTTTTCAAATGTCCGTGATATACAGGGCTCTGTGACTCCAGCAATTCAGGCATGAATCTAAGTCTTCGTGCCACAATCCACGTCTCGTTAACAAAGAGTCAGAAGGGCCAGACAGCCTCACAGAGCCAACACTATCCTTCCAGCTCAGCCGCAGGAGTTTGTGAGGATGAGGAAATGGGCCACAAGCGAACGCGGGTGGCAGCTGGCAAGACCTCCATCCTGGTCCCCACCCCCTCCAAGCTATCTGCTGGACTCGAGCTCTAGCGAAAACAGCGTTATGACGGGACTTCTGGCTTGTCTAAGACATTAAAGAATTAATTATAAAGTAAAGCTGAAAGAGAAAATTAATTTTAGAAACACATGAGGTTACATTTTTTTTTTTTCTTGGAGATGGGGGAGGAAACATAGTTATTTTCGTTTTCATCCTGGGGGCACAAGCTGGGAGCTGTCCAGTCGATAACCTGGCCATCAGAACAAGGTTTGTAATTAAAAGGTCAGTGACCTGGAAAGCCAGGGCCCCACTCCCAGAGCTTCTCAGTAATGACGGAGCTATTAAATTAAGACTGTTATGAAATCAATGCTAAAAAAGCTTTCATGGTAACGAGATTCCATTCAAGGACATGCAAACTACCTCATGAAATGGACGTAAATGATAAAAAAGAAAAGTAATAAAAGAGGGTTAAATTGAAATCTGTGTAAGAATTTACTCCCCCTTAAAATACACCAGCGAGAGAAGCCCTTCACCTCTACCCCACTACCAAGGTTGAGACCATCAGGTTTCTCCCTCAAGTTCACGCCAGCAAGGAGGCCGTTTTGCTACCAGGGTTCGGCTTCCAGGAACAGAAGGCAGATAAGATCGTGTTGCACCATTTAGAATGAGCAGGTATGGCGGTGCGTTTTATTTGTTGAGCTCTCCTCAACCCCCGGACTATTTATTAGGTGAGGGAGCACACAGCCCTTGACTTACACACCTGAGAAGGGGACAATAAGCCAAAGTGCCAGCCGACGCCACTCAGCCCCCACTGTGCAGGATCATACAGAAAAGCGTGTGGTGCTCATCTTTTTTCTAGAAGCCTGCTTTGCAGCAGATGTATCAGGGTGAGCTAACAGACAACTCTACCTCCTCCCCTTGCCCCCCCCTCAGCTAACCCACCCCCACCCCCACCCCCACGGACAGGCATTCCTTTTTCCCACCTTACACTCAGCCTGCCAAACGTGTTTGGAAGCAGACTGCCTCCTACGTTTTGTGGTTGGATAGGGTGTCAAATCAACACAAGCCTATTGACAACAACGACCCAGCCTCTAACTTTCTGTACTGGCTCTGTTGCTGTCTGTAAGCTACTCTAACCGCCTAGATTGCAGCCTGCTTGCAGCCCCAGATATGATGCCTGCCTGGCAAGAAGCGCTTCTATATATAGACCAGTTCTATGAGGGCTTCAACCCCACGCACAGCCCAGTTCTCTTCGCGTGGGGCTGACTCTGCAATTGATGTGTCATCTGCGGAATCAAGTGGTTAGAAGAAACAAACACATTTATTCTAAATACTCTGAAGGTGAACAGCTGCTTTTCTCTTTCATCCCCAAAAATCCCGATAAAAGAAATGTTGTAAATTACACAAAATGGCAGGACAGCTTCAAAGAAAATGATAAATGATTCTAATAACTTCATGTTTCTCATTAATGACTCCATATTCAGACTTTAAAGCATCCAGAAGAGATCTCAGAAAAACAAAAATAAAACTACCCAAAAGCCCAAACATAAAAGACTTTTGCAAACCAACGCTCTTCCATCCGAATCCCCTTCACTCTACACTGCACGCCCCCCCACCCCAACTCAGCGCGCACACATCTAACCTGTCAGTCACAGAGGCAGGGTGCAGCCCCTGCTCCGTGCTGTGGTTTCACATGGAAACAAACTCAGCTGATGCGACTAAAGTCACCCTCATTTTCCACTGAACTGACATGCACCACAGGGACCTCAATTTCTATATTAAATATTAAATAATATTAAAAGAAAAACAAAATTGGATTTGCCTTTTCAGGAAAGAGATGTTTATTAAAAAAAGGAAAGTCAAGATTATAATTCAAGGCAGTGCACCACTGTAATTCCCCGAAGTGACATTTGCAGGAAAAACCAAGACGACAGTGGCCGCGAGCTCGTCCAAAGCCAGCGGTCCAAACCCACCATGGCACTGAGTCCTTCGGGGAGACGCTCGTGGTCAGGATGCCAGAACCTTGGTCCCTCCCCGCAACACACCCTCCCCACCCCCAAACACCAACTCTCCCCACTTCCCCTCTACTGTCACGGACAGGGCAGATGCGGGCTCCTGCGCAAGCGCCCCTCCCTCGTCCCATCAGAGATGGCGCCGAGCTACGCTGGCCACGTCCGCCTGACCCTAGGAACAGCCAGAAATTGAAAAAGTGTAAATCCACGAAGGGGTTCTTCTTCCCCAGGCACCGATCCAACTTTGGAACTCTCTGCCCAGAAAAAGTCCTGCCAGAACTTACCCCACAGGGTGGGATTCACCTTGGAAATGGGTAATTCCCGACTGAAGCAGCATTTTAGAAGATAATGGAGATGGGCAATTAAGTCTAGCGATTCCGATTCCGGGTTTAAATATGGATAAACTCCTGCAGTTCTCTTTAGAGGAAGGAAGGTCGATGCCTCTCAAAGTTCTTGCTGCTAAAAGTCTGAAAACGCTAACCCACATGAGGGGTCAAGAAGGAATTATGCCCACTCTATCAACAAAGGCTCGTGTCCTCAGGGTTCGCTCACACGTCACCCTCGCAGAGACATGCTCTGATCGCCTTGTCTAAAGGTGCCAGCACTCGTGACCCTCAGCCCCACGGCCTGGCTGTCTTTTCTCCACGGCACTAGCCATTCTGCACACTCCCTATCTTTTCACTGGTTACTTGTCTGCCTTCCCTGTTAGAATTTAAGCCGTGAGAGGGCAGGGGGTTTTGACTACAACAGGGCGTGGCCAGCGCCAGCTCTCACTCTTAGGTGAATTCATGAATCCATCGGTGGTGTTTTAAGATGGAGCAACAAATAACTGCACAAAACAGCCTCCTCTCTACAGTAATTATTAGCCAACTAACTCAAAAGAAGTGTTATTTGGTCCAGAGTTTCTCTCTTTTTTTCCTCTCTCTCTCTCTCTCCCAGTCAGGGATTTATTAAAATTAAACAGATTAGATAGAGCTCCTGATACTAAAACTGCTCAGCAAAGCCTGCGGTGGGGAAGTGCCGAGCAAACACCAGAGACATTTGTCTCTAAATTGCTCTAAATACCTTCTGCAAATGAAATTCTAACCCAGCTGCGTTTGAGAGAAAATGAGGAATAACTGGTCATTGTCAGTGGAAGAGAAGATCAGGCAGTTATAATATTGCACAATATACTGGGGCGAAGGATCTCTCGGCAACCATAGATTTTGTCTCAGGTTACCCCGGGTAATCAACACAGCTTTTAGGCTCAGCTTTCCCCAGCTTCAATGCTTTGATGAGAGAGCTGAAATCCCCAAGCTTTTATGATTAATTACTCCCCATAGGTACACATATTTCAAGGAAAAACTCTTTTATGGCATGATGGTTGTGGAGTGGAGAGGCTGGCCAACACGCTCCAAATTTTAATAATCTCCTACTGATGTGGGGCAAGCAGGACGCCGCCAGTGAACGCACAGCACCCCTCATCAGCTCCATCCCGGGACCGCCAGTGAGGCTGCCTCTGACGGCTGCCTGTGAATGAAATGCGTGGGCTCATCCTGCCCCGACGACGTGCACGACGTGCACGTGCAGCTCTGGGACACTGCCCTGTGCGGTCACCTCAGTGGGATAGCACGGAGCAGGCCTAGGAAATACCACCAAACCACTCCGTCTGCTATTCCAGCCACAAAGGACTTAAAACCCAGAATTTGGGGGCTGGCATTCCAGCTCTTAAAGGAAAAAGAGAGTTCTGTTTTGGAAAAAGAAAACTCACTTTCCTCCCTCGTGGTATATAAAGATCTCTGAACAACTTCCTAGCTTTCTAGAAAATTAAATGTTCAGAGAATGGAAGTCAGATTTCCTTTTTTGTTTTGGGGTTGTTGTGGGGTTTTGTTGTTTTGTTTTGTTGGGGTTTTGAGGTTGGTTTTTTTTGTATTTTACAAAAAAGAAAAATATCCCAAATTTCAACAGAGCCAGAATAGATTCTGTCTGCTTCAGACAATATCGAATTTGTCAAGATCCATTTAATCCAGGCTTACAGAAATACCATAAAACCAGTAATTTACCACTTCAATCTGTAAATCAGACTGACCCCAAGCTTGACCTTAACCTGACCTTGTTTAGTCATCTCATTTCCCTCATCCTTCATTTCTTTCTTCCTCATTCTTTACTGAAGCAGCTGACCTAAAGCCAGTCATTCTGCAGCAAGGGCCATTATCAGAACGCACCAGAAAGTACAAGCCCTCCACCTTCTTATCCAGTGGGCATCTCCTGCTGCTTCTGAGTGCTGCCGCCTGGCCAGGTGGTCCTGGGCTAAGCTGTCGGCCTTACATCTGGTGCTCGATTATCCAAGTTGGATCATCTCTCTGCTCCAACATGAGGGAAGGAGACTGCGTTCCCACTGGGGGCACCCCACACACCCCCACCCCAATACTAGCGGGACAGTTATAGAAGATCCTGTCACCAGCGCTGTGGCTTCCATCTGCCCTGTCCCCAGCCCCTGTCTGTAGGCCACTCTGCACAGCCATGGGGAGCCTGTACCTTTCTTCTTAAGGAACGTTTTCCTGGTCGCAAGTGGGCTCTGGCGGACCCGGGAATTCTGTAGAAACTTCACTGCTGTGGCAATCTGGTGGGGGAGACAAAACAGAGAAGAAAAGTAAACCCCAAAACAGTCTGAATTGCAAGATTAAAATCCTGCAAGTTTATCCCAGGTCCACAGAAATAAGTGCACCATTGTGGTCAAATTTATAACTATCAATAATTATGTCTCACATTTAAAATCTACCTGAATAAAAGACTATGGTGGTTCCCTACGTTCACTGGCTTCCTGTATGTGAGTCTATCAATCGAACCCCCTCAGCCTCGCTTTTTAAGGCCTGCGCCAGTCTTTCCCGTCTTCCCTGTCCAAGCTGATTCTTCCTACCCTCGGCAGGTGGCCCTCTCCTGGCCATTCTCTACCACTGTCACTACACACTGTGGTGTAGTTTTTCTAGAAGGCCTCCCTCTCCGGCCTCTACCTGTCTAAACATCACACGCGCATGCGCACACATACATACGCACACACGCACGCGCACACACACCCTAGCACAGCCCTTTTACAACCTGTTCTAACTCCTCCAACGAAGCCTTCCCTAAATAAGTAAGCCATCTCTGATCTCCCTATTCTCTTAACTTCCTCAATGCCTGTAGTGTGTACCATATAACTGAAGACATAATCACACTGTTTTCTAATGTTCAGGCTGCCTCCCCAAAACACCACAAGCATCTCAAGGGAAGAGCCCACGCTGCCTCTATGGAACCTGGCCAAGTGCTTCCGGCTGGGAAGGATTATATAAGAGGCAACATACACGGCCATTCACACTGGTCCCTCGCACTGGCACTCAACTCTGAAGAGCCTTCAGGGGACAACATTTGGGGTTTCACGGCTACATGCTGACAGACTAACAGATTACCTCTCTACCTCTAGTATGATATTTAAGGAATTCTTCACATCTACGAATAAGCCAAGTAGAGGACAGAAGGGAAGCTGCTGAAGGTATGAACCTTCATGTCACTCAGCACACACTAACGTGTTTGCACACCGCCTGCCCGCTCTCCAGCCCAGACACTAGTCCAACGGGTACCTGCCCAGGTAGGAAAGGGGCCGTTTTAAATAACTGGCATTATTCATCTCATCAAAACCAAAGTATAATACAGTCTCGTGTTACAGGTACAGTCAACAGGCCCTGTAGTTCACTCACAAGTTGTGGAAAGAAAACATTTCTTTTTTCTTTTTTTTTTTTTTAAGATTTTATTGGGGAATCGGGGAAAGGGAACAGACAAGTTGCTGTCCTTTGGTTCTTTTTTTTTTTATTGTTAGTTTCAGGTGTACAGAACAATGAATGTCCTTTGGTTCTTCAGTCTAGTTGTAGAGGACGTCGCTTCACTGGCCCATGTTGGTATTATTATTGCGCTCTTCCCGGGTGAGGCAGATCAGTCGCTAGGCCCTGGACAGCCGCTCAAACCAGCTGCCAGCCACTCATAGTAGCTTACGGCAGCCTACTGCAGCCTACGCCGTTTCCAGCGACTCACAGCAGCCCAGGTCCAGGTCGAAATGTTGTTCACCATCTTAGCTGTAGAGGGCGCAGCATCACTGGCCCATGTGGGACCTGAACCACGGCCCTGCTGCTCAGAGCTGGCATCCCAAGCCAACTCTTAACCAATGCGCCACTCAACTGGCCCAAGAAAACATTTCTAAGGAACCAAATATAAGGAAGCTTTCCAAGATCCTTCAAACTAAGGGCAGCTATTATACAGAAATTTAAACAGAAAGCACTGTGACTACAAGTGGAATACAAGTTACAAATATCCTCTTCATATTTTATATGAACTTAATCTTGAGACCAGAGAGACTTTCCTGGTACCAAAAGATATGAGGATAAATCAGAAAAAAAAAAACCAAAAAGCCAGAGTAAGTCCCTTACATATTTCCCCCATAGTCCTTCTGTGGGAGGCTTGCCCAACACATTTTCCCAAAAGGATGAATTCAGGTGTCCCAGGTTTGTAGATCTGGACCTGGGAGTGACAGGACATCTAGTGTTCCTTGAGCCTAGACCTAATCTGTCCAACACCGCAAACCACCATCATGAACGGCAGTGGTCACCAGCCAGTTCTAGACTAAAGAAAAACTGATGCTCAAAAGTGTAGAACCCCAAATCTACACTCATCTCCTTAGCCCCTCAACCAGATCACTTCAGGTTGCACCAAAATCAAGAAAAATCGAACAAATATCCACAAAACAGGTGTGTTTTAATGAAGAGATGGGCAAGGGGAAAGAGAGAAGAGGAAAAAAAAGCAAAGGGAATGAGGAGAAAGGGGGCAGGAGTGGGGAGGAGAAAGGGGCCAGGAGGGGGGAGGAGAAGGGGGAAAAAGAAGGCGGCAATAGGACAAGAGGAGGAAGCAGAGGGGACCTAAGAGAAAGAAGGGGGGGGTTGTGAAAGAATAAGGAAAGGGGAAAGTGGGAAGGGGAGGTGGTGAATGAGGAAGGAAGAAAACAAAAGGGAGAGAGGCCTGTGCCCTGGAGAGAGAATGGCCAGCTACACAGCCACCGGCCCCACAGGGTCAATGCCAATGTGCCCAGCTCAGATGACTCAGGGATAATTGCTCTTCACCTGGAGAAAAAACACCCCTTCACCACACCAGACAATTAGAGCATTCGCATCATGCGGCAGTCCCCGCATGCCAGGTGTCAGAGGCAACGTGGCGGCGCAGGTCTTAAGCAGTCGATGCTAATGGCATAGCTCCCCCAGACACACAGACCTTTCCTTCATCCTTCCAAAATTTTCCGTGACAGAAAGAAAACAGAATCCCACCACTAAAACGCACAGGTTTCACCTTGCTTTTTTAATATAGTCCTTGGTATATGCATTTCTGGTCAGAGAGCAAAGTTCTGATGGGTTTAATGGTGCACTCAATGCAGTGCTTGGCGCATTCCATCAATTTTTTTAAAAAAAATTGCATCTCTTATTTCTTTAAATACATTAATCAGCCTAGTGCAGGCAAAACGGATCCATCGGACAATGCAATAAACATGAATTATCATCTATCCAACACGCATAATGGCTTAAAAATACATAATAGCAGGTGTAGTTTAAATGATTAGTTATTACACCTGTGGTGGGTCTGATTCAATTGGGAAAAATCATCTTTAATAGGTTAAAAGGTTTAGATCACCATGCTTTCCTTAAAGTGGCTGCAGAGAGGGGATGATGGAGTGCTCTGTCATTAGTAATTCATTTAAGAAAAACGTGGGGGATATAGCAAAGAACAGCATAAACGAGCGAATCCAATTTAAACATCAGGTAAAGTAGAAAACACCTTTTAAAAAAGCAAGATAAATGAATTTGGAAGGGAGATGAAATTGACGTATTTATTTTAACGGGAATTTGACAAAGTCCCGGCACACTTCAAACTTGCAAAAATATGAACAATTTTTTTTAAAGTTTCCATTCACTAATTTCAAGCCATATAAAACAATACTGCCAAGCACCTACATAAAGTATATTTGGGGCTTGTTTATGTTCCTCTTGATCTTTGTCTGAAAATGCAGGCGACAGGCAAATCACATATTTAACGGCACTGATATCACTACGCCAGATGCAAAAATATAAAGCATCCAAACTAATGGCCTCAACATAATGTGCTGAATAAGAGACCCAGATAAGCAGCTACACGTAGTGTGAACGTATGAAAACCTCTCTCCTTTCACTAATTATTTCTTCAACTACTCTTTACTCTTCTCAACTCCCTCCACACAAGGAAATGGCACAGAACGTGGGGGGGGCGGGAGAGGGGTGTCCGATCTGGAATTTTATAAGCCCTACGATTCATACATAGACGGCAAAAGATTTCCCCCAAATCTTTACCCATAATGCAGATTTTAACACGCTAAGTAACTGACAGTGCGCTGGGTTTGCGTCTTTCATTCCCCTGTTGTCGGACACTTTTCATTAACTTCATGAAGCAATTCAACTGACTCTCCCTCTGCAGAGAGGTCCACCACACACAGCACACTTTTGTTGGATGAAATGAGGGGGTGCCTGCAGCCTCTCCTGTATTATCATTTGAGTTTCTAATTAGGAGATGAATGGGACTATTCATGGGTTATATCTGTGCCCAACTAAATTACATAAATTCAGGCCAAATCTTCCGCCTGCCTCAATGTCAAAGATGTAAAACGGAGGCAGGAACTTTACTGCACACAGTGGGGGAGTGCAGCAGGCCGGGGAAAATTCTGGAGTACAGCACCTGAAGCTGCTGTGGAAGCCACTTGCCGTTAAGCCCAGCTAAACATGGAATGGGCTTTCCTCTCTCCTCCTCCTGCGCCAGGAGGGTTCTTAATGAGCGCACCTCGAATTACCAGTAGCTAGTTGCAGAAAAATAAAGACGACGCGCTCAGAAGAAAACAGGGGCAAAGGTACTCGCCACCCCTGTTCCTGTGACCCTGTCTTCTGTCCCCCACTCCCAAAAAGCCAAATAAAGCAACCCTGCCACCATCAACTCCACGATTTTAGGGAAATTTGATTATTTTCACTGTTTGTGACTTAAAGCTAGCGGTAAAACAGAGGTACAAAGAAGAGGAGTCAATTCTTGCCTTTGCAATGGTTCCGCTGGAGCGACTGTCAGTAACCCGGGGAAAAAAGAGGGGACTTCAGGTTGAAAACACCTTTGCATCCAAGAGGCTTGGCCAATTGAGAGAGATTTGTGTTTGAGAGAGCGGGATTTAGCTGTATAAATCAATGGAATACAGTATCTACCATGAACTATGTGCTGTTAAATGCATTGTGCGAGGTAAGGAATCCGGTGAGGAGAAGGGAGGCTCCTGACGATCCCCCCGTGGAAGAGCTGCTGCTCCCTGTGTGTTTTCTACTCCCCCACAAAAGACCCACCTGCACACTGTCATCTTGGGAACACACACTTCATTTTCCACACGAGGAGGACGGCAGGACGGAGCCCGCCTAATAACGAACCTGGGGTTTGAGGGCACCATTGCACTTTGCACCTGACATGTAAACCTGATGCATTGTCTCCTGTGACACTTATTTGGAATGTCACCAATTCCAGCACTCTTGTGTGCTGCACATACTG